TGGTCTTTACTTTATTTGGTTTGAAACAAAACTTTGTCTTCGTTCTCAACCATCTTGCCAACGGTTACCATTTCATCCATACCTCCACAACAAATATTGCGAAATACATGATTGATTTGTTTGTGAATCAGAGGTTAATGTCAATCGAAAGCCATCCCTGTTCAACCCTCCATGTGACTTTTCATTGTACTAGGTTAGATTTTAGTAGTTATAAAATTTTGGGGTCTTTCATGTTTTGCCCATTGTTTAATATTCATTACATGAACATCTGGAGCTTATTTAAGGTTATTACGGGTTGTATTAGTCATTGTAAAGAATGTTTTAGCTTGTTGGTGCATTGTTTTAGTTGTGATGAATTCGTGATTTATTGGGGCTTTTGAATTGAATTGTGGTGTTGTAATGTGTACAGAATATTTAACACTGTGAAACTCAGAATACATCATGTCGGGAATCGGAGGAATGTTGTTCGTACGACCCATGGCCGAGGGTTGGTATAAACACCTGCAAGGGAAGAAGCACAATTAGTATCCTGAAGGATATAAGGCCCAAAACTCCGAGCTGTGATTGGGCATACATATCTCGGCTTTCACCATTAGGGAGGTGACCACGAGCATCCGGAGGTTTTGGGTACCAAGGGAAGCAATACGAGCGGCATATTCTAATTCCTCATTGGTCAGGGTTGGAGGATCAAACTTGACTGGGTAAGAATTCCACCAATCTAAAAAGGGCATCGGGGAACCCACTTCAACGAAGAACCTACTCTCCCATCCGTCGAGATTTGGACCATTGTTGGTGAAGCAGATTTTCCAAGAACGAGTCGTTAGGCCAAGGTAACCCGTACAACCAAAAGGAGAAACACGTGAAAATGAAGGAACAAGTCCATCGTGGGGACGACCCCTACATTATGACTACGAATAATGAAACCTACGCCAAGCCTGTAAGCGGCTGGTACGAGCTATGCGGGGGCAATTCAAAGCCTCCGGAAGAAATCAATGTGGAAGGGGTGTAGGGGGGACGCTAGAGTAGCCATCACCGAGTCCAAGTGGATGACTACATGGCCGGGTAGATGGCACATTGAGTGACGAATGAACTGGGCGTCCCAGGCCCGGGGGAAGAAAAAGTTGGTTGATCATACTGATGCCACAGAAGAATAGGCATTGGCGTTGATGCCGAATGCAATGGAAATAAAGAGAATAATGAGGGGCCTGTTGGGCATCCCCTGTTCGTAAAATTCCAGGTCATCCTCGGAGGGACAACCATCATTCGTCTGGTCGTCAGGACGAGCAGATGTGGACGTTGAGCTGCCCCGGGTACTACGGGTGAGCTCCATGGTATCAGGTTTTTAGGAAGCCGAGGGTCCTGGGTTACTAGACATATAAAAGGGGTAGAGAATCCAAGCCAGGAACTCGATGATAGAGGGGAAAGAAACAGGCAGAGTGACAACAAGAATGAAAGGCTATCGTCGATTCCCTGGAACCATGGGTACCTATAAGCGATACCGCCTGGCCCATCCAACCAGAGAGGGACATGTGGTGACCCTTGACGGGTGGTCCCCAAGGTTGACTATATTGTTTTGATTCCCGTGTCAAGCTGGGGGCTACAGGGAAGGAGTGTTTCCTAAAAGACGAACAACGACGAACGCCCCCTAAACTTATGCCATAAGAAAAATTGGGGAAGACGAACAGTTGTGTGCCCTTGATCATGGAGCAACCTGCCGAGGAGGACGATCATCTCCCAAGCATGCCCGAAGCAATGCTGGCACGAAGAACAGCTGTATGCTCGGACCATAGGGCATCGAGTCGAGCATGTTGTTCCCAAAGGAAGATGAACATGTGCCAGAAGAGCAATCCTCTTAAGAATGGTCAATCATCTAGGAACGACCGGCAGTGAGGGTAAGATCCTTTGGAACCAAGTCAAGGTTATGGACGAACATCTTTTCCATTGCGCAGAACCGAGCATCCCGGGGAGCGAAAGGCGAGCCTTGCCTGGGATCAAAAGTTTTGGACAGTATCAAATACCAATAAAAGAAAACGCCTACGGGTACTTTGCATGAAATCAAGAAAAAAGTAAAGTGAACGCAAATTCAAGTAATAAGGCAAAAAGGGTCTTCATTCTTTGGCGCTACCGTCCGGAATGTACAACGAGGAAGAAGAGGATAACAAAGCGTAAAAATAAGGACATAGTCAGGGGAGGAGAGGGGTCTGCTCCATGGCATCCTGCCCAACCTCTTCTTCATCAAAATCTGCAACAGGGGTTGGAGGCTCGGGATCTTCTCTCAGATCCTGGGCCCGGGCTTGATTGCGAGCCAGTTTGGCAATAGCCTTCACCAACTCATCATCCTCTATATGCTCGGCCATGCAGAACTGATCCGCAAAGCCCTTACGGAGAATCGGCGTCACGGCCTCCACGACATCATAATAACCTTTGGTTGAGCTATCCCCGACAAGGAGAAGCAGGAAACGGAGGCCAAGCGGAGTCCTCTGCAAGAGCCTGGATCCATTACCGAAGCGCTCTTTCTTGGTCGGGCTTGGTCGGCTTGGCCACTCTCTCTCTCACTTCAAGGTGTCAACGTCCATTTATTTCTGAGTGGAGGGAGGACCTGAAACAGAAAAGTCAAGTGTTAGAACCGGGCGGTATGGATCCAAAAGGACACTCACCTTGTAGAAATGGGGCCGCCTGGGATCTCGATATGATTCAAAGTGGGGTGTATTAGCCATTCTAGAGAAACAGGTGATACATATTCCTGCATCGACAAGCACCCCAAAAGTAAGGTAAGGCTCCAGATGCTCGGAGCCGCCTCTTTCACTTTATTGATGGCCTCCTCCAGTTCGTTAGTAAGGCGCGACGGCCCTATCTTCGACGGATATCTGTTCCACCGCTCGGGCAGTTGACCCTTGGGAAATCGGATAAATAGGAACTGGAACTTCCAGTCATGGATAAACGAGGGGGTCCCATGGAAAAGTTTTCGTCCCGGTCGGGCATTGATGCTCAGGAATCCATCAGAGTTCTGGGGAGAGAGTTTGAAGGAGTGATGGAACGGGTCCAAGCTCGGCTCAGTATCCCTATTGACGCATCGGGCAATGAAAGCAGAGATAAATTAGAAAGAGTTGGGCATGAACTGAGCCGAGACGACCTGATAGCAGCGGAAGAGATCGAGATAGATGGGATGAAGGGGAACCGCAGCAATGCCTTTATCAAATCCAAGTGAACCATCACCATGCTAGGTCGTCTCTTCATCGGTTGATCCGCACCGTGCAGGTTATAGACGATCAGCGAAGGAAGGTATAGTTTAAGATCTTTCAAAGCCTGTTTGGAGAAGAATTGTTCACAACCATGGGCGTTCCACAACGGTACCACGTGGCGCTGAACGTCCTGAGGAATGCCCTTATCGAAGATGGTCAAATCATCCCCAGAGTATGCCTCGTCAAACGAGTCATTGTCTTGAGGCTGAGGCTCAGTGACATCTCCGTGAACTGCCTCTCCTTGGGTGACATTCCCTTGGGCAATGCGGTGGAGGGCAGTGCCCCCATCGACGACATCGGCAAAAGCCTCTTCGGCCGTAGCCAAACACCCGGTGCTACTAGAAGTACTCGTTTCCCCCAAAGAACGAGACTTTGAATCAGACTCGAAGGACAAGCGAGAATCCATGGCCACCTCTGTGGGGTTCGACATTAGTAATTGAGGGATAATAAGGAAGGGTGAAAGAAAATTACCTAAATGACGAGGCAAGGGAAGCAGACAACCGGAACTACTGAGCGGAACGACAACAAGCACTTGAGAGCGGATAAGCGAAAGTTTGGAAACCCTAAAGAATCCGAGGGAGCCGGTATTTATAGGTGTTTCCACCACCTCGCAAGCCGGTAGGTGCGCGACACGTGGCGAGGAGCGTACCCCAGGACACATGTCGTGTGGAGCTCAATAGGCACGTAATGATTACCTTTGCCATGGAAACTGAAGCGGCCGCCATAACCGTCATCTGGGGTTTCTGAAACTGCTTAATAACTGTCACATCGGGAGCGTCAAGAAAGGTCGGATCGGGAAAACATTTATACTTCCTCATGTCTCGCGCACGCTCGGAACATCAAAAATGGAGGACTTATGTTGGGTTAATTGGCCTGATACCAGAGTCGGTTCAATAACCCCTCGGGAAGGATCCTCATTAAGGCTCAGTTTGGGCATGGTCTAGCAAGAAGACTGGACGGACGCTCAACGTATCAATGGGGATGGTCGGCTTCCTTGCCTTTGGCCAACTGATGTCAGGCCATGATCCAAGGGCCCCAAAGTAGCAATCGGCGTAGGCCAAATGGGTCCCCATCCTTGTGATCATTTGGACCCAGAGAGGCCCAAGACCGGGTGGACGCTCGTCCGGACCCATTGGTGGGAAACCAAGATATTGGCGGGAAACGCATTTAATGCAGTATATTTGGTGGTTGGGAAGCTAGTCACCCACAATTCTCCACATCATCAACATTACCTACCCCTTGGTAGTATAAATAGTAGCAATTATTTCATTGTAGAAGATTGACAGTTATACTCTCTAACAATAGCAATTATTCTCTCCTACTAACTCATATACCTAGCGGGATTGTAGCGAAGTGTATTGTGATAGACTCTTATTATTATTGAAATAAGACACGGCCCACTTAGGGTTGGTTTGCAACTGCTTTTAAAAAAGCACTTCTCAACTTTTGGCTTTAAAAAAGCACTTATTTTCCCAAACACTACAAGTTTTATTTTTCTCGGCTTCCGCGTCAAAAGTGCTTTTACTTTTTCTATTACACAAAAAGCACTTATTTTACCAAACACTACCCACTTTTACTTTTCAAAATCACTTTTTTCTCAAACACTATCAACTTTTATTTAATCATTTCTCCTCATTTCATTTAAAAAGCACTTTTTTAAAAACAGAAGTTGTTGCAAACAGACCCTTACTAAGCTCGTACTTGTCGATTATTTGTTTGTGCTTGCTCACCTAGTCACCTTAACTCTTAATCAGCCAAATTATTCAGAAATAAAAATTGGATAACCGGCAGAAAAAATTGGATAATGTAAGTACGAGTTGCGATATGTTTAAGAAAATTATCTATCCTCTGCTGGCCTTGATATGCTCAAAAGTGTGGGACTGTTCCATTATCTATCTATCTATCCTGCGGAAATCTTCATTTCCATCCATTGGTAAATAAAAGTGAGCAGAGAGAAGGGCGGGTGATGGCGGGCGGGCGGGAAGAAACGATTTTGGTGACCGGAGGGGCGGGGTTCATAGGAACCCACACGGTGGTTCAGCTTCTCTGTGAAGGGTTTACGGTTTGGATGATAGATAATCTGCACAACGCTGTAGAAGAAGCTGTCAGTAGGGTCAGGGACTTGGTTGGACCCCAGCTCTCCCTCAATCTTCACTTCCGTTTGGTTTGTACTCTCTCTCTCCCAAATCAATGTGTTTATAACACTTTTGCAGAGTTGAAATAACGTTTTCGCTTGATTTTAGATATGCACATTTATATTGCTCCAATGTCATTCTCATTTTTCTTTCCAAATACCCATTATCGAATTGTACGTGGAACATTGCCAAATAGTACTCTACAATTAAATCATATCAAAATGTTAAAAGCTCTTCTACTTTTGTAACTGATTCTGCTTCTCTTTCTTTTTTAAAGTAGAAGCTGGTCTCCTCTGGCTTCTAAAAAAATTGATTCTAGGAGTAAATTAGAGTTCTAGAATTGCACTTTTACCCAGACACTCCAACTTCTCTGAAGGAGCAGAAACAGTTTTAAGTATTAGATCCAAACATCCCTATATGGAACAATCTATAGTTTTATATAGTAAAATTGATTTAGAAATTGTTGACATGGCACTCTCTTATTGGTTTACAAATATTCTATTATCAGTACTATTAATAAAGCATTTAATTAGTTCCAAATAAAAAGGAAAAGGGAGAAAAAGTAGGAGAAAAATGTGCAAGGAGAAAACGTTGGAGTAAAAAGTGCTAAAAATTACACCGTTTGGTAGCACGAAAATCGGCTGTTTTGGCTGATTCTGCTTAAATTTATGAAGTTCTGGTTGAAGTGGCTGCATTGGCTGATTCTGCTGATTTAATAAAAAAATATTTTTAAAATATATTTTATTAGTAAAATAAAGAAACAATTATATGTAAAAATAGCTAAAATAGTCATCTACTGTAACTTCAGCCAATACAGCCAGAAAAGTAACTTCAACCTTACTTTTTCTGCTTATTACACAATTCAGCGCGCGAAAGCAAAAATTACGTGTTTGGTGAAAAAGTTAGCTGATAAGCCTGATAAGCCGAAAAATAGTATTACCAATCGGCCTCATAGATTTCACAAATTAAAAATTTAAAACATTATATAAATGCGTATGTAGGAGAAATCGAGAAAAGACCCTTCAAACTTCAATGTCTTTAATACGTAGGAGAGAAGAATCTTTAATACATTAAAACATTTAATAAATGTGAAAGGGCTAAGTTGGCGAAAATAAAATGGAAGGGCTAATACCAAGCATATAAAATTATTAATGGGTATAATTTTCAGAGCAATTGCAATATCAATTATTCAATTCTCATACAGTTTTTTATTTTATTTATTAATAAAAAATATTTTACATTTTTTTCATAAATCAACAAAATCAACCAATACAGCCACTTCAGCTAAAACTTCATAAATTTCAGCAAAATCAACCAATTTCAATGTTACCAAACACAGTGGCGGAGCTAGGAAAACGGCTCAGGGGGGTCGAAACTCAACCTATATACAGAATGAAAATGATGGATCGTTTTTAAACAATGTCCGAGTTGAATATTTCATATGCAATTTAGATAAATAGATACTCGTAGCAATAAGATAGATGGCCTTTAGTATTGAGTGAATTATATCCTATTTTTAAAATTTGAGAAAATAATCTATAGTATGTATCAAATTTTGCTGATTTTACGTTTAGATAGTGCTGATTTTCAAAAACACATAACTTTTTACTCGTAATGAGTTACGGGGACCATAATATATCAAATCGAAGATATTTCAAAGCTCTATATTCTCAAACTTTCAGTGAGGCCGGCTGACCACCATGACCCCTGACTCCGCCCCTGACCAAACGAGCTTTTAAGTATATAAAATTATTGTTACACATTTGAAAGAGGTTATAATGCACGACTAAAAACATGTAAATGTGACTTTAATCGTATAACAACATTATTACACATTTGAATGAGACTATGATACGTGTGACTATCCAAACGACGTAAACTCCCACATACCCCCAATTACTTCCGATTAACCACTTCTTTTCATCCTTCATATTTCATCCTTCATATGTCATCAAATTAACTGTATAAATAATTTACTACTATTACAACAATTAACATATAAACCACAACACAACCACATATTTCATATACTCCCAAAAATGGTGATTCCTCACCTGTCATCTATAGTGCAATATGATTGCATTGGGAATATCTCAAACAAAAATAAAATTGATCTTTACGTGTAAGGTTGGTTATTCCTTGGGATAATATCCGTCAGCCTAATCTAATTTAACTTATTTGTTACGAGCTAATTTTAAGTGACGAAGAGGTATATTTAAATTGTAGCAAATCTAGAGTAATGTTTACATAAATCTTATAAATTTCATTTATGTAATTCAGCTTTTAACAAATAATCTAATTTTAGTAGAAGAAAGGAATTACCTTTCGAAGAAATAGGCTTTATAGGGGTAATCTATTTTTGTTTTGATTTGAAGGATCACCTTCCTTTTAGACATTATTCATATAAAAAAAATTAAGAACAAGAGAGAGACAATGTTAGAAGTAAGTATTATCTCAGAAACTTAAAAATATCTAATTAAAATTGAAATAAATTCAATGTAATTTTATATTGAATAAAAATATCTTATTATTAATTGAATGTAAGGGCTTTAAATTGTACTATTTGGAAATTATGTAAGCAATCGTTGTTGACAACAAAGTTATTTTTTGATTTTTTTTACAAATTCGCAATAAGAGAAAATTTCTCATATTTGTTACATTTAAGAATGTTTTCATTTTGTTCTTCATACATTTTAACCTATATTTTCGATCAGGGGCATTATATACAATGCAATATACCACCCAATTATTTTGACGCCTCATTCCGAAAAACATTTTAAGACAAACATTATTATAGCATCAAACAAATGAATGTTGGAAGAAATATATATGGCTTCTGCTTGAGTTTTTCAGAAAATTTAAATATTTATCATGCAAAGGAGTCTCAATCAAGGTTATTAATAGTCACGAAATTGATCCATGTGGAATGAAGCGTCAATGAGTCATAGCTATTTTTTAGACTCTTGACAAGAAGTTAAGAGATACATGCTCAAAAGTAAATTCAAAAAAAGAAGGGTAATTCAAAAAATGAAGGGTTTTCCTTTGGTTTGAAAATTGTTGTTCTTGGAGAAGATTTTCGGCGGACACTATATGTAATCCCTAAAGGCTACACTAAATGATACTTACCACATTAATATTTTCATTTTGCTCCACTTTTATAACTGCACACTATGAACGTAATTTTTTCAACTAATAATAAATAATATACTCATAAAAAGAAATAATAACAATAATAAGTCTAAAACCAAAAAATACACATTAGTTCTTTAAAATTATATTTCTTATTTGTCAATGAAAAATTAAGACACGCATTCTTTTTCTGCATAAAATATGTTATTAACAGGTTTTATAAAGAATTCGCCGTTTCTATTGATATTCTCTATCGGGTGTTGATATTCTCTAAAGGCAAACCATCCATCAGGACTATGTTATCTAACTTATCTTTGTGGACGTATCATATATAATTGAATAACGGTCTACCTTTATATATGGAACGGATGGTTCGGTATATGTTGTATTCATAAGATTTTAACTTCTTACTCGAGAAATGATATTCCTTTCTTTGACGTATAATACTAGCTAGCTTTATGAGTATATAATTTCTTAAAAAGGCAGGGGAGTAGTTGGTAGCCAAGTAAGGGTGGTGTGTGTGCTCTGATCGTGTATTGTTGCAGGGTGACATCAGAAACAAGGATGATTTGGAAAAAATGTTTTCTGAAACAAAGTATGCAATGCAAACTAATCGCCATAATCTTGTTTCCTTTTATGTAATTTAATTTAATTCGAGACCAGAAGATTTGAAATTGTTTTGGTGATCAATAGGTTCGATGCTGTTGTCCATTTTGCGGGGCTTAAAGCTGTCGGAGAGAGTGTTGCTTATCCCATTCGTTATTTTGATAACAATCTTATTGGATCGATAAACCTATACTCGGTTATGCAAAAGTATAATTGTAAGAAGGTTCGCGTTGATTCCCTAAATATGACGAGTGATTCATCCATTCATATGTAGTCATGAGTGATGGATATAGGGCATTTGCTCTTCAACCTAACAAAATAAGTAATGTTATTGCAGCTGGTTTTCTCATCATCAGCAACAGTCTATGGTCAACCTGAGAAGATTCCATGCGTAGAGGATTTCAAATATATGGCTATGAACCCTTATGGTCGAACAAAGGTACCCCCCACCACCACCATTGATTTGTCTTTGTTTGAAAATATATATTTTCATCCCACCAATCTCTAGAGACATGATACTAGCTTGTCTTTTTTGTTTTTTTACCCGTGCATGTGTGTTGTAACCTGTAGGTGGTCCTTGAAGAGATAGCCCGAGATATTCAAAAGGCAGATCCAGAGTGGAGAATGATTCTGCTGAGATATTTCAATCCAGTAGGGGCTCACCCTAGTGGAAGACTTGGGGAAGATCCTAAAGGCATACCCAACAATCTCATGCCTTACATCCAACACGTAGCGCTTGGTCGGTTGCCCGAGTTAAATGTGTATGGTCATGATTATCCCACCCCAGATGGCACTGCCGTAATAATCTCCATTTCTTTCATTTATTTGCTGATTATATCTATACCTGTATATATAGGTTTCGATTTCGATGAGAACACTCTAAAACGATGCACATTTGTGATAACTCCAGAATTATTCTCATTTCTCCCCTTATATCATTTTCTCATTTGAACCAAATAATATAAGAACATTATCTAAGGAGACAAATGAGAATGATTCTGAAGCTTTGTATTTAGGTATCGGGCATCATGTAAAACAGAAATATGCATATCAAAAATTGGAAAATGTGCATTTTAACCGTGCAAAAGTTTAAACGTAAATGTGCACATTTGCATTTTCATTAACCATATTGTGCATCATTTCAGAACATTCTCATTTCTCACGTTAAGGAGTGTTCCCTATATATAATTTGATTCAAATGAGAACATGATCTAATGAGAGAAAGGAGAATGTTAAGACTCGAAGTTTCATCCTAAAAAGTCAACCTGATAGAAGGAGTAGTCTAAAGCCTTATATAGGTCTCGTTTGTATAACGGCAGTTTGGGCAATCCGTTTTTTTTTTTTTGAACTACAAACCGCTGCTAAAAGCAACGTGTTGGCATGGATCCAGCTGAAAAACAAACAGCCCCATAGTGTTTATTGTTTTATAGCTTTCCAGTGTGGGACAAATACTTTAACACGCCCCTCAACCGAACCGGGCCAGACAATATCTAGGTGTATAAATGGGCTAAACAGGCCCTTAATAAGTTACTTTTTATCATGAGTACTAATCAAGCAGTCAAACCAATATTGTACTTGGATCTGATACAATGTTAAGACCCGGAGTTCCATCCTAAAAGACCCGGAGCAACCCAAAGCCATATACAGTTTTTTATTGTTTTATAGCTTTCCGGTGCGGGAGAAATACTTTAACAGAGAATGATTCTGAAGCGTTGGATTTGGGTATCGTGCATTATATGAAACAGTAATGTGCGCTATCATAAATTAGAAAGTGTGCATCTGAACAGTGCATTAGTTTACACACAAATGTGCACATTTAAACTTTGTATTATTTTAATTATAAATGTGCACCTTTGTGAAACATAATATGTATTGTTATGGAGTGTTCTCATGTCTCACATTAAGGAGTGTTCTCACTAGAATCGGACTATATGTATACACACACATTGTTATTCCAACTGCCGCACGCATCCATCTTGCAATATAATCCAACCTTGATTAAACCTAATGATTTGACAGATACGAGATTATATACATGTTATGGATTTAGCGGATGGCCATGTTGTTTCACTTAATCGACTTCTCAACCAAGAGGATATTGGTAGGGGTACCCTCTTTTATGAAACATAGATAAACATGCTGCTTATGGATGGATTATAGTGGCAAGTGTGTCTGCATTTTGATAATGAATACTATGACCAATCAAATCAGTGGCGTGGGTTTTGTTTTTGTTTCTAGTTCATATTTGCGTGAACGTGCATTTTAGGTTGTGTTGCCTACAACTTGGGAACCGGCCTGGGCACATCTGTTTTGGAAATGGTAGCTGCCTTTGAAAGAGCATCAGGGAAGGTATGTACCTTGTTGTTGATGTTGACATTAGATAAACTGGGATGCCACTTTCTGAATATATTCTGGTGTGGAACTACTTATTGGGAGGTGCTGATTGTGTGCATAATTATTTGTTGTTGCAGAAAATTGCAATCAAACTATGTGAAAGAAGAGCGGGAGATGCCACAGCTGTTTACGCATCGACTGTGAGGGCTGAAAAAGAGCTTGGTTGGAAGTAAGTCCACCATCTCCATCATCATTGCCGTCGTTATGAGTACTAAACTACCAACATTTGTATGCATTTATGTATGTATGTTTGGTTGGTCGGTTGTTTGGGTGGCAGGGCGAAGAAGGGAATAGATGAGATGTGCAGGGACCAGTGGAGATGGGCAAGCCAAAACCCTTGTGGATACCATTCCCAGCCGTAAATTACAGAGTGTGCGCTGCTTGTGCTGCTTCTTTTTCTCCAAGCTGTTGTTATCAGTATTTTATATTTGTAAGTTGTAGCTCCCCCAATGTCTGCCTTTTTTTTCTTTCGAAATGAAATTCTACTCTACAAACTCTCACAGGAAATTCCAGCTCACTTCAAACCATGAGAGAATTTCTTAAATAGGATAACAACAATGTTAAAGTTCATAAACAGAACTATTATTATTGTTAAAGTTTTGTGACCTTTAGATTTTAATAGTGGTGATGATAGTGACAAACTGACAATAGGCTGTGTGAAAACAATTGGTGAGTCTCTGAGCAACAACAACCACATTCCACATTCGTTTATTTATATTAGTTGGGAAATATTTATTTTGATCATATATCTATTGGCAAAATGCTCATTGAAAATGTGAAGCAGCACATTGAGGAAAACCAATAACATATCCCACATTGATCGTAGTATATTAGTTGACGACCTCAAATGTATACTACTCTCTTCGTCCCAATATTATCTCTAATTTTGACTTTGCACGCGGATTAAGAAAGTGAGAAATATGTGGCCTTAAGTTGTGCAGGAGAGAGAGTATGGACAAATGCTGTAAAACAGAAATTATTTGCCAAAGAAGAAAAAGGTTTATATTGACACTTATTTTAAGCGTGTTAAGATAATTGGAGTGAATTTATTCAAGATCAGAAATTTTAATCCAATGGTTATTACTTTTATTAGTGCTATTTCAGGACATTAGAATCTAGAATGTTTTAGAAGACTTTTTGAATTCTAATCTAATACTGAGTTCTAAATTTTAAAGAGGGCTGCTTTAAAAATAGTTTTAGTTGAATTAAAATTTTCTAATTTGGTCTAATCAAGTTTGTTTAAGTGTGATCTAATCTGAACTGGTATGATAGATGATTGGTCTATTCACATTGGAAAAAATTTACACAAATATTGTACAAAATTTTGTTGAAATCAAGTCGTACACAAAAAAATCCAATAATTGTATTATTTATATTTTACTTAGATGAAATGTAGAATTTATAGAATGTTTTATGACTTTTTGAATTACTTGGTATAATCTAAAATGAATTCTAGTTCTAAAGTAATTAGACATGAGTTCTATTATAAGAGCATCCCATTGTTTAGATTATTTAGAGATCAATTGGATGATGTGGATGATTTTCTTTGAGATTATGATTGAGAAGAAGAGATTATTTGCAAAGATTATTTTCTTAAAAAATCTGGTATCAAATATTGAAACTAGATTATTTGGAGATTTTTGGCCTACTTTTTAATCATTCATAGAGTCCAAGAAAAAAGCATTAAATATAAAAAATTGGAAAGAGGTTACATATGTGTAATGCATTAAATACGAAAGTTTACCGTGGCTAATTTTTATATTTTGATTAGTGGTACATGGATTTGTATAGTTTCGTATGTATAGTTTTTGAGTTTTAAGATTATTTCAGATTTTTTACGTGTTCATGATGTGATAGAAAAAATCAAATTTTTTAGAGAGCATGAATGGAGATGCTCTAACGAGAAAGAGTTGTAAATTAATGTCGTATAAATTCTAACTTAAATTCTCATGTAACGTGTATAGTAGAATTAACTTACATGATAACCAAATTGGAAATAAAATCTAGAATTTTTACACTTGGCAAAACTTTTCATAATTATATTTTGAAATTTGAAATTTAATATTTATAGATAGATATAGAGGGAGAGGAATGATCTTGTCCAGCCAGAGGGACAGGATGCTCCATCCGGCCATCGCTGTTTGGGACAATTTCCGGTAGAATTTTTTGATGAAGTTTTTTTAGCATGTTCCTCATTAAGTCTAGTTTATACACACAAAAATTCAATTGGGAAAGCAACCAAATACTTTTTTTTTTGAAGATAACTGCATCAAAATGTACATATAAAACACTGATTTTTAAAAAATTAATTGACTACTTTCCCGGTTGAATTTTAAGCTGAAAATATTTGTGGATAAACTAGACTTGATGAGAAACATGCTTAAAAAATTTCATCAAAACATTCCACCGAGAACCACACCAAACTGTGGTTGCCAGATGAACCATCATTTCCCTCATGCTGGAAAGGATCCTTTCCGTGTGTGTCACTCGAGTCGGGCCGCCCGACCCGGAACCGGCCCAGACTGGTACTGTTTGTACCCGACCCAACCTGGCCCGGTAACCGGTCTTAGGGCCGGTTTGGGCCAACCGAACTGGTTAAAACACGGGGCGGGCTTGGGCCTCCTAAAAGTGGAACCGGCACGGCCGGGCCCGATCTGGGCCTATTTTTTTTTTTTTTTCAATTTTTTTGTTTTTTCCCGGGTTGGCCTGGGTGTTTTGGGGGGGGGGGGTGTGGGGGTGAGGGGAGGGGGGGTTGGGGGTTAATTAGAAAAGCAAAGAAAATAAAAAAATAATAACATTGAACCGGACCAACCCGGACCGGCCCGGAACCGCTGCCTACCCGGACCGGTTTCGGTTCTCCCTTCCCAAAAAAAATAGCCCGGCCAGGCCTAGGCCCGAACCAGAACCGGCCCGGGTCCATCCCTATGTGTGTGTGAAATTTTGGGCTCTAACTTCGTTTTAAATTTTTTGGGCCATGAGGGATGACGCCCATGCCTCACAGGTCTCAACAGAAGGCACGACCTTGTTTACATAGATGAACAATTCCCAATTGTCCCGTCAATGATTTTATAACAAAACTAAATTTTCCTGCTGATAAAAATAATAACAATAATAAAAGAATAATACTACCTTCATCCTAACTTTAGGGCATGAGGAGGTGGTGCAATTACTAAGAAAAATGAGTTAATGTGATTGCTATTGAATTAATAAAGTAAAATAATGTAAACGAATTAAAATCCCACAAACTTTATCAAATTGGATATGTGACCATCTTAGTGGACTGGACTGAAAAAGACAGATGAGACAATCTTAACGAGATAGAGAAAATATAAGACTAAAAGGTCATAAAACAAGACGTGTATTATCCATTAAAATCTATACACACTGATGCCTAGAATTCAACAGCCTCCTAAATAACTTCTAACTTCTATCAGTCTGCCGAACCGACCTAAAAATACAATCAGATGCTTTCTCTTTTTCTGTTTGGTAATATTGCCACTTGATATATTCACAGGATAACTGCATATTGATTAGTAAACGGAAAGGTGGAATGGAAGAAGAAAAATGTAGAAAACATTCTCCTACTGATGCACAGAGAACTCCTATCTATACAGATTAGAGGGGGAAAATAAATAAGAAAACTTAACTGTTTTATTTAAAGCGCGTCGAAAAACTTCGGCACTTCAGGGACCTAATGAGCAGTTTTTCAAACTTCATTTTCCCTGACTATGTCTTCAAGAAACTGCTTTACTCGGTTCAGGTTCATCTCAAATACAAATGACATTCCCCTTATCTGCACGTGTTGCAAATAGTTTCCTTTTTTAGATGAATGTTTAATTACATCTACCTCCCTGTGTTTCGATTAAACTTCCAAATTACCCTTTGAAGTATCTGAATATATCACAAACAAATCCTCAACTATCTAGACTTGTCTTACAACTCCCCTCTTAACTAGGTAGGTTTTGCATCTTAAGATTGAATTCATGCTTTTTTCAGCTAAAACATTTAAAACTTCTGTCACAGAGAATCTTGGTGACAATTATTTAGTCCAAAAAACTGAAATGTTACTAATAATATAATATAATAATAATAATAATAATAATAATAGTAATAATAATAATAATAATAATAATAATAATATCATTACTATAGAAGAATCCAGAATATAACTATTTATTACATCAGTTATAATTATTTATTAGAATCTTCAGTTACATATCTTTGTAGTTATTACTGTAATTAGTAGTTTCCTTATACACTCCCTGCACCATTGTATAAATACCGATCACATGCTATGGAAAAGTATGAAATGCAGTCTGAAATTTTCGGGTTCTTCTATAATTACATCATAGATTCTTCTATAATTACATCATATCATCTTCAACGTTGTTTGCAAAAACATTTGAATGCTCATGGTGCGTAGTTGTAATTTTCATAAAACCAGAGGATCATTTGGTAATTTGACCGAACGTCGGGAAAGATGATTGTAAGTAATCCTAGATAAATAAGAAATGGAAGAAAGGGGAGAAAAAATAACTAAAATTTACATTTACGGGGATATAGATCAATCAATGTAGTGAAAACTAGGCCATACATACCTCAATCAAAGAACTTGCTGTAAGATGTACACTTTGGAGGGGTGCTATTTCTTTCCCATTCATATGAATCGAGTATTTGCTAACATTTTGCAATACGAAAGTCCCATCCATGTTGATCTTCATGATTGCCTTATCAGTGATATTAAAAAGAAATAGAATGCGGGTAAGAACAGCATTAAGGTTTCTGCTTATCCACCTCATGAGCTAAATTTTATGCTTAATATCAAAGTACTGTAAAAGTTACTTTCTGATCAAAGTTATTGAAGTAAAGAGAAATTACACTTCTATTGTCATTTACTCATTTGTAGATATTATTTTGAGAAAGGGGAAAATAAGCCCTCGAGCTATTAGCGAGGCTGCAATCAGGCCCCTTAACAGGAAGACTTGCTGGTGCAACCATATCCTTTTTACCTGTTGGTGCCGGTAATTTCTATGAGAAATTATCTCCTTATCTGCACCAGCAGATAAAAAAGGATCTCAATGCCTAATTTTCAATGAGTTGAGGGGTGCATTTGCAAGTCTTCCGGTTCAGAGGCATTCAATTATCGCAAATAGTTTGAGGACTTATTTGTCCCTTTTCTCTATTATTTTCATCATTTTATTCGACATTAACATTTATTAAGTATGTTTCTACATATAGTTTTAGATAATTCAGCTTATTGAACCATTTTAGCTACAATTTGATCTCACCTCACTCATTTCAGCCAGCTTTACCCTTTAACGAAGAGGCTCTAAGATGTACAAGGCACTAAATGCTACTCCGTATAAGATATTTCGTGTAAGAGAGGGCAAGAAACAAAGAAAAGTAGCTGAACAGATATTCACATTATGACATACTAAATCAACATAAACTGGCTTTCCCCTGACGTTAATAGTCGCTACTATTTACCAAAATAATTGCGAAATACAAAAAGGCGCATTTTTTTATTTTCCTTTACAATAAAGTGACTT